CACCCATAGATGCTGCAAGTGATCAACATCTATGACCTTTTGGCAAAACGTATCTGGTTGGTGGTTGACCTAGCCCTCTGAAAAATGATGGAGTGAAAGTCAGTTGGGATGATTCCATTTTGAACTGAATGGAAAGTCATAAAATTCCATGGTTCCAAACCACCAATCAGTCTAACATAGCTATTGAAAATTGCCATTTATAGTGGATTTACTCAGCTATAAAATGGTTCCAAACCACCAACCAGATATGGTTTTTGTTGGTTAAATCCAATCTTTAAACCCGGCTCTCCGCGCCGAGGTGCCGCACGAGTTCCAGCAGCTGCATCAATTGCTCCTGGTGGATGGGTGATCTAAACCAAACTGCAGGTGTTACCCTCTGGTAAACTAACATAACTATGGAAAGTCACCATTTTCAATGGGAAAACTCACTATAAATGGCCATTTTCAATAGCTATGTTAGTTTACCAGAGGGTAACCTACAAACAATCGCACTTTCTATGGATGTTTAAAGGCCTACATGATGGCCACAATGGTTTTTGTTTGATCAGTCATTTGAAGCAAACTACCACACTTCAGGTCAAAATCACATGCTTAAAGTCGTGTGAAGTATGGCGATGACTAGCCATACCCTCAGGAGGATCCCATTTAGAATCTAGAGTCTTACGATATGTTGGTACGTTCGCCACTTTTTCGGGCTACTTTCAGGGTCAAGGTAACTGAAATACATGAGGCCCCACAATGATAACAGCGACAAATCTGTAGCATGGCTAGCCTGAGATACCAAAACACATGCTGGTTGGTGGTTGACCGACCCCTCTGAGAAATATGAAAGTCAGTTGGGATGATGACATTCCCAACTGAATGGAAAGTCATAAATTCATGTTCCAAACCACCAATCAGACATGGATTTTTGAACGGGCCATCAGCAATTTCCACTTCTGGTGATGAACAGTCGGGGCTTTTCGGAACGACCATTTGCAGGCCATGCTCTATCTGAAGTCATGTCAGATATAAACATATATTGGGGTTTCCATAGTCATGGGGGATACCCAAAATGGTTGGTTTATAATGGAAAATCCTAGTAAAATGGATGATAACTAGGGGTATCCCTATTTTAGGAAACCAGTTGCTCCCTGATGCTCCCTGTTTGAATCATCTACCCTCTGTGTAAACTAACAAAAAACGATGGAAAATCACCATTTTATAGCTGGGAAAACTCATTATAAATGGCCATTTTCTATGTCGCTTTTTGTATGTTTACCATGTCGGGATCCAGAGGGAATACGGGTACTGATGGCTCCGACAACTCCAAACCACCAGGTTTTTCAACTCAAAGCAGTGGAAATTGGACATGGCTTCCCCTCGCATTAAAGCCATAAACATACAAAAAACGATGGAGAATCACCAATTTACAGCTGGGTAAATCAACTATTTCTATGGCCATGCTCATTATCAGGGCTACATAATAGATCAAAAAGTTCGGACTCCTGGAAGTATTGGGTAAATATCATCTATACCAGTGCCATCCTCGGAAAAGGTCTGTACTTTTTTGGGCAGGTGCTATACCCTCTGGTAAACATACAAATAGCTATTGAACATGGCCATAGAAATAGTTGATTTACCCAGCTGTAAAATGGTGATTCTCCATAGTTTTTTGTATGTTTACCAGAGGGTACATCCCAGTAAATCCCATGAAAGATCCTATTAAATCCCATTAAGTCACCATAAAAACCCATTAAATCCCATTAAGTCACCATTTTTTTGGGGGCTGCTATCCCAGTTCAAATTCAAGGACTCCAAACCCTTCATCGTCCTCATGCCACTGGTGCTTTGATTGCAGCCATGCAGGGCCTTCGTCACGTTGTCTCCGCAATGCCTTGCGAATGGCGGAGAGTCGGATGTTTCATAGGATATTCATAGGAGGGAATTATACTTTAATATTTGTAAATTATATAGATGCATCTGCAGAAATGAAGTCGATATTCACCAACCTTTTTCATGCCAGTTTCGGGTAGTTACCTTAATCCTAGCCACTATTCTAGTCACGTCTCAAGTTTCGGTCGTTATAGTTACCTTTCCCTATCTTTTCCGCTGAGAGACCCTCCGGTCGCGATGGACGTGGAGAACCGGCCATTCAGGCTTGCATTGTCATAGATATGTCTTTCGTCTTAAACCTCAATGTTCTACAAACATAACTGCCTGTGGGGCTATGCTATGTTTGCTCTATCACATCAACTGTTATGGGATTACCCAAGGTGTATAAACAACAGGTGATGTAAGATCACCCAAACATGGAAAGAAAGAGATGCTTGCGAAATTTCGGCCTGACAAAAATGAGATAATTAATATGCGACCCTGGTTCAAATTGTGACAAGTCAAAATGGTGGCTTAGGCAAAAAGGGGCTTATTTCACCCACAAAAAGGGTACGCGATTCAATTAAAAGCGATCAATCAAGATGAGATGTTAAGCAACGATCCTGGATCACCCATGGGCATTCCTTCTGGGAAATGTCGCAGAACCATCGTTTACTATTTGGTTGTTCAATGGACGTTACCCTCCAGTAAACAAACCTATGGGAAAAAACACCATTCAGAGACCATCCAAAAGAAAACCCGATGGACTGCCATATCATTCGCTCAGCTGGGTAGCTCCTCGGCAGGAAACACGGCTCGCCTCGCCTGAAGCTGTGATTGAAGCCACACTTCTTCCGGCTTGCCGCTACCGCTCTCACCATAGCCACCCCTGAGTTGAGGCCTTGGTTGGGGAGGCCATGGATCGATCCATGCGGATGTGAACTAGATGATTCATATAGCAATAGATCGAAGTAAAATAAGTGCCTTGTCTAAAGAACCATTTAGTATGACATTCTCAACTCAGATTCTGAACTGTGCCTGTAAGAATGCTCTCCTACACTCAAGTCGTTGAAGCTGGCCTTCCCTGCATGAAGAAACAGTTGTTTGGGATTAATTCCTGGTCCAAGACATTATATGAGCGACGACATTATTTGATACATCATTGCCAATCTTAGATGCCCGGCAAAAAAATAAATTCTTTGCTGGTTAGTAGATATTTCCATTGATACCAAAAGACTAAAGGATTAGTTTGTATCCATGTAAGATTGACCTAGACATGTGAAAAGTCAAGAAGATTCCAGGAGTCCCCCTTTACACATGTTTCTGGCGCTGACCTTGTTTTCCAACGTCGTCAACTTTTTGGATGTTTGTCATTCGATGGATCCTGAGCAAAATCTGCTACTGCCGAATACTACTTGTAATTGTCTTGAACTGCACAAATGTGATTGGTTGGCTGTCACAACCATCAAAATCGATTCTTTTTCAATTGGGCAGAGAGAAAACTATATCTGGAAGCACCAACTAAGGTTTTATTCAGTGGCTAGAGATGGAACCAGAATTTCTGCTGCGCCAAGACACATCTTGGCTGCAGCTTTCTTTGCAGCTTTCGGCGCCATGGTCGCCGGACAGTGCAAGTTCGATGCTCTGGGCTGTGAAACTTGGTCAAAATTTTGAAGGATATACCGTATATGATATGCCCTGAATGAAATATACCAATATCTAGACTAGAAACATACAACTAGTTGCTCTTAAGGCCAACAAACATATCCCAAATAGGCTTGAAAATCAGATTAGCATCCAGCATTCAGAGGGTCCCAGGTTGGTCAATTCCGGTGCTGTCGCAAAAAGCGGTAAGCCACAGGATAAAAGGTAGAACATCCATGAATTGAGGGACAACTTTGGTTTTGGACTTCTTTTTGAGACAGAAACAACATTTTTGTTCTCCTTCCTTTGTGTTGGCAGCTGTGAATCTGATCAAACGCAACCCTTCAAGAGTCACTATCAGCTGCGATAGTGAGCCAATTGGCATTCCACAGCTTTCTGCACAGAAGTTTCCTCGCCCAGTTTGCCATGTCGGGAAGGCGAGGAATCAAACTTGACAAACAAAAATATGTTTTCATCGATTCTTGGACTGTTTCGTTTTCACAGTATATTCTTCCACAATGTTCTACATGTCGTAGGTATATAAATATATATATATATTTATTGTAATATAGACCATATAATATATATGTATATATATATATATATACCTGGAACCGGTTTGACCTCTGTTTTGAACCTAAGTATATAGATACGGGTATGCTTATGGTGGTGTTTTTCAGGGAAACCCAAAATACGCCCCTTTGTTAAAAATAGGTACCTTTTGCAATTTGGGGTTTTGAGACCATTGGTGGATTTGATGGTAAGTGCTTGCAACCTGCCCAGCCCGCCACTGTTTATCAGCCGAAAAGTTGCCCAACTGCATCATTTCCAGCAGCAGCGCTGGGGCTCCAAGTTTCCGAGGATCATGGTGGACTCTGTGGCACCAAAGGGGTTTTAAGATTTCACATATTTTAACATATTCTAAAGATTTCTAAAGTGTATTATGGTTAAAGTATCAATATTTGTATCAAAGGTCAGAGTATCCATCCATGCCTCGTTGGTCGGCATCCGCCAACAACAAACTTTCCTGGTAAACTATCAAGGATCTCATCAGCAAGCTTCTGTGGATCGATCGGATGTTGACCCTCCTGCTGATCCTGCTGGGCCTACCTATGTAGTCCTCTTGAGCTTGGTTGGTTGTGGCCAAGGGGTTTTCAACCCATGACCCAAGCCTGGTTTGGGTGAGCAGCTGATGCGCTGCGTGCGCAATCATGTGCACTTTTGGCACCATTGGGAATCGACGCTTCCCTTGCGCCAGAGTGATGGCTGCACCCTGGGCATACAAGGCCAAGAACTTGAAGAACAAGCTGGCCAGATTCTGACCTTGTTCTTTGGGAACCCAAAAGCCAGATCCATAGAGGAAACCCATGGCCACGTTGAAGGTGTTCGTTGCACCAGCCTGTCAGCAGGTGATTGCAAACTGGGAAAAAATTGGTTTCAAGCCGACTCTTCCGGAACAACCTAAAAATAGAAACATGTCAAAAACATGGGCAACAAAAGTTTTATTTGATGGAGAGACGAGGAGCAATGGCGAGGAGAAGAGGATCAGTGGTCTTTCCCAGGATGTAGTTTTTGCCAAAATGGCCAAGAAAGTGCATCATCTCCGTTGATGCTGCTCCTTTGCTCCACTTTCCAATAGGATTGGCAGTGCTGGCTGGGAAGTTGAGCGTGTCCCTGGAAATTTCCGACACATAAGGCGGTGTCCTGAAGTAAGCTCTGTAGATCATCGTCAGCCAGGAAAACTTGACTTCAATAGATCCTCGAGGCAAACAGGCAAGGTCACTCTCCACAATGCACACAAACGCACTGGCAGTGAAGTGTTTCAAAAGCCCAAGGTGCGCATTGTGCCACAAGTCTGTGCGGAAGAACTCAATCTGCTGCTTTGTGTTGAGTGGTAGATCATTTAAAATTGAAGGCTGCAACTCCCAAGCCGGCTCCACCGAACATGTTGCGACCCATTCTGCGGAAGGAGAAACATTCTCAAAGGGGATGGCAGAGGCACCAGTCGAAGCATCTGCCTCCTGACCGGCACTGCAAAGGAAACAAACTCCTTTGCAAGCTTTCTTCGAAGAAGCCGCCTTCGGAACGTTGTTGAAGCTGCGCTTGAAGCCACCGAGCTTCTGGAGAGCTGGCAGGTCACCTTTTGTACCCCAATGGATAAACCATAGGCGCTCACCATTCTGGGCAAACAAGCCCTCAGTCAAAAGCCGGTGAGCATCAGCAGCATACTCGGTGATCAGCTTATCAAAGGACTCTGGGTAGGCCGTGGAGACCGTCTTCAAGACAGCTGCAAAGATGAAGTTGGTTGACCAGGTCTTTCCCAAGAAGTTCATCCCCATGCCATTCCGACGCAAAGGGGCTCGGTGCTTTCTAGCTCTCACATAGGCGTTTGTGCCTCTTCCAAGAGCCCCATGGCTTGACAGAACAAAAAGAGGCATATGCTTGTAGCTTCTGCCTTCGTCGGAGTGTGAGAAGTATGGAATGCAGGATTCCAGAACCAGGGATCCATTCTCAGCAAGCTCAAAGATCCCATGGTCGGGCCTGATTGCCCGCTGTCGTTCCCAAAACTCTTTGAGCACTGGTTTCATCTTGGCTATGCTGCTAACACCTACCAACTGACGGGCCAACCTGTTGGTATCCAGCAGGTGCTGGAACCAAGTGGTAATCTTGATGACTGGAAACTTTTCAAGTTTCCCAGGCCCAAGATTTACATCATCTACACGCACCGGGCATGAATACCCTTTTTCTCTAAAAAGCTTGTGGACACCAACTTCAGCATCAGCTGTGCGGATGCGTGCAAAAACACGCATGGTCTCACTAGCTTGAGGGTTGGCAGCTACCTCTGCCTGCGCAAGCTCCACCAAATGCTTGCAATGGGCCTCGGCGGGCTGAGCGGTGACCCACACTGGTGAACAAACATGTGAGAAACAGCATCAATCTATTTGTCGTGCTGGCATGCTAGCTCTGATGCCGACCAATGTTGGATACAACTGACCTTTGTGTATAACTCCATTGAAATAACTCTTTCTATTTATATAAGGGGTATTTCTTTGGGTTCCCACAATTCTCAAGATACAACCACCAGCAAGCACCCTTTTCTTTTTTTCCCCATCTGCGTTTGCAAACATTCTTTTATCCCACAGACCGGGGCTGATCGGCCCGCCCCCCAACAATATACACATAGTAGGGTGGCAGGGCAACAGGTTCTCTATTCAATGCCCCCTCACCACCACTACCTTCTCGGTTTCTACATCCCACGTGTTTGTGGAATTCTGATACCAGCGCCGCTTCCAGCATATGCACCAAATCAACAGAATTTGAAGTGGCTATGAGCCACATAGCCGTGAATTTTTTTCCTTAATGTAAAATCTATATCGCGCCGTTGGGTCAGCTGTGACGCCAACTTTGAAAACACAAAGTCGGATACTCATTTTTTCCCTGAACTGGATCACCTTTTCCTTGCAGTACTGTAGCACTCGGCCACACGTCGGGGTTGGGCCTGTTTTCACTATGGAGCAGTCCACTTGGTCATGAACTTTTTGAATGGACCTTCGATCCAAGTCCTTAGATGTTGCAGGGGGAGACTAGGCCATAGACATTTTTATTGAGGGTGTGTATCCCATCCCTTTTAGGTTTCAGGGGCAAAGTGGTATATCCATAAAAAAAAAGATGATGGTGATATTATGAAAGGGTGCCCATATAGCTAGGTGAAACTACAGTACTCTATATAAGGGTGATGGTGAATATGTAAGTGGGACTAATGTGTACAAATTGGGGGCTATGCATATATATTTATGTACAAGTGAGGCTAGTGTATGATAACGGTGTATGCATATTTAAGTGGAACTAATGTATGTAAAGGAGGACTAATGTATAAGGAGGACTAATTTGTTTATATAAGGGGAACTAATATATATAAGGGAGACTAATGCATATATATTTATATACGAAGTAATTTATATAAAGGAGGACTAATGTATAAGGAGGGCTAATGTATAAGGGGAACTAATATAATAAATATATAAAAGGGACTTATATATGATGTAATATAATGAGGGCTAATGTATATAAGGTGGACTAATATATGTCAAAAAAAGTAGAGACAACCTAAATGGGGCGCATGGTAATATACCAACCGCCACTGAGATGCATCCTTCATGGCCGCTGCACCCCTCGACGTCGAACAAGGCCGGTCAGAGTGGACAAAGTCACTGGGAACTCCAACATGATTGAGTTGAAATTCAACTTGTTCTGCATTTTCTGGTTCCATATCGATTGCAGATGGTGAAGTCCCCATTAGCCTTGAGATTGGACATGGAGAAACCATCCATACCCTAAAAAGTAAAAAATAGTAATTGCCATTTTCTCTCATAGTTTGTTGTTTGTTTTCTTGAAAGTAGCCAAGGAACTTCTGAGGGTCATCTTCCAAATCTACAGATCCAGCTGTGCGTTTCCTTCCGCTATAAGGGCAAGTGTACGTCAGCAAGTCAAGTAGCATGTCATCATCATCGGCCATGGTTGGGCACTACCGCTGGCATGCGATGAACTGTGCAAACAAAAACATAAGTTATATATATTTCTGAGTTATCTGATGTTGGTCCCATAATATCCATAATGTTCCATCTATTTCCATATGATATCAAATGATGTTGGTGATGGTTTGATAAACGTTTTGAATGTATTTGGTTCCAAATACTACAGACACAAAAAAGTAATGTACAATGCAGATTTGATCATTGCACTGCCTCTAAAAGTTGGTCATTCATTCGCACATGGGTGGAATCAAATCTGAAGCAACCTGGTTGGGGCTGCTGGGTGCCCGACGCCATTGGCGATCAGGCGAGCACAGTGGCGAAGCACTTCATCAAAGTTCGGGCCACCTGGCAACAGTTGGGGTTGGCACGTTTTGGAGTCTGTGAAACTCTGGGGGCCAGATTTGGAATCTTACTATATATGTGATAAAGTTGATAAGCCCTTTGACATTGAAATTTACATAAATATATATCTTTACTGGATTCACTGAGGTTACCAAGGTTCCAATTAACATAGGGCTAGCAAACCAAAACTTTTGATGATTTGATTTGGACATTGAGATCACAACACCATGACTCTCTAGAGGCCTTTTTTCCCATTTGAAGTTCTGCTCGCCAAGTGTCGCGGTTGAATCCAAGCCACATTGTACCGACCCCCCACGTGTTATCACATGTTTGGGTCTTGCAGTTACTTTCAGCACTGCATTGATCACCCCAAAAACAGGTGGACCCCTGGTTTCTTCCAACCCTATGGGCCCCAAAACTCAAACACTCGGCAGCTTCCACTTCTCAGTCCTCATGGCTTGACAAAAGCCTTCTTCAGGTTCCTGAGCGCCAATGACATCAAGCAAGGCCCAGAATACATGTATGTCGATGTTGTAAGTGTACATATTACCATTTTAAGTGTGTAACACCATTTGTGCATATCAATAAAATTATATATTATAATACTCTAAGATATTATATATATGAGTTCGGACAGGAATATCTACAAGTATTGTAAAATATTGTAAACATTCCAAAGTCAATGAATGGACCAGGGTCGACCCTTGGACTGACATGTCAACCAGATGCAGCCAAAGATCTTGGCAGCAACTTCCGATGTAGTAACTTTACTGCACCTGATGTTGACCGACAACCCAATCACCCGGCTCGACAGGTGAAAGGCAAGCACTTGCGGCAAGCAGCCCTATTCTGTTCAGACCAGGCGCTTCGATGTGGTGGTTCGGATCTGGGCATCGATTTTCTTCTGAAGCCTTGGCTGGAAAACAAAAGGGGTGAGTTAGAAGAACAACGGACAACCTGTTCCAACTTCACTTGATTAAAAACTGTAATTAACACATAGAGAATGTGCTGCTAATGTTCTAGTTTTACTTTGGATTTCGGATGGTTTTGAGATGAGAAGGATTGTGGACTTTGCAGCATAAGGGGCTCTTGCTTGGCCATGTCAGAGAGGGTCTTGTCATTCTTCAAGGCAACGGTGTCCAACTTCACCACCTCACACGCCTCGTACTGCTCCTCCAGGATCTCATTAGCTGCCTCGAGATTGGCCAAGCACCTCAGATGAGACTGGCTGGGATGGGTTTGTGATGGTTTGAGGATGGACCGTTTCCATGAAACCAAGCAGAGGTTGTCTTGACAAAAAAACTAGGTCTAGAGCTTCTTGACTCGGATGCCCTCCGAACAGGTATCGGATTTCCCAGTTTCAGCAAACGCCGCTTCCAACCCAGAAATAAGTTCCGTGAGTTTCGAAGATCTGGAAAGGAGGCTGTCTGTGAATCGGGCAAACTTCTCATACTCCTGCATGAGCATGCTAGGTACAGGTAGGTACTTTTTAGAGTTGTATACATTGTTTGGTGAATGATTTAAATATAAACATGCAGCAAGAGAATCAAACAAATGTACCAGTCCTTTTGGTAGGTGTTCACCTGTTTGGCCTTTGACTCCTGTTCACTTTCATCATCCTCATCAGACTCAGATTCAGCACGGGCAGCCCCAAGCCGCGTGTGCTGCACCATCTCGTCTGCAACCTGAGGCCAGACAGACAGATGTGGGAGATATTACTTACCACCAGGACATTGGGAAGTCATGGGATTGGGTATTGTGACTAGGTCTCATCCAATATAATTGATTCCATGGATCTTAACCAAACATTAGATCATTGGGACGTGTGAAAAAAATAAGCTGTTGAGGGGCTTCCTCATCTTCACGCACATGACGTTCCTCATCTTCGGACAGCTCCTCATCACCTTCCTCGTAAGTCACCAAGTACTTCTTCAACTTCTTGTTGTAGCGATCCTTCCTTTGAAACCAGATGGAGTTGATTTAGTGTTCTACATATTCACACCACTGCACATGAATGGTAGCATTGGACAAGTGGATTGTGGACAAACAAGTTGTTTATGCAAAAATCCTCAAGACCTCCAGGTGCATAAAAGGTTCTTGGTCATACGCTGGACATTGTTGGGCTTCTCGCAGTACTCGATCACGCACTTGATGTAGGACCTCAGCAGCAGATAGATGCAACCCAAAAGGATCAAGGCTGGATATGGCTGGGTCAGAAAGGTCAGGAATTGGAAACATATGTAGATCAAATGATACCCCTGGGGAATGGATGGGAATGGAACCGTAGGATTTTATAGTAAATTATATATTTTCTATAATATTTATTAACAAGATGTTGGGTTAATCTGGATTGTCCATTCTAGGATGTAGGATGCATAGCTACTTGAAGACTAGGGACGTGCTCCATCCCAAATCCTTCGACCTGGCTTCCTTGGTGTACCATCCACGTTTCTTTCGCCTGGAGAGCTTGTTGGTCTTGGCGAGGGTCTTGGTGATGCGGCTCACAAACATGTCCTGCAGTTTTCCACCATGATCAACTGATATAGTATGATATAACAAGGGATATTTTGCACTAAAGATGGGATAAGTAGAGTGGCAAGAAAAATGCAATCAACAAGGTAGTACTTGATCATATTTGACCGGTCCTTTGCCCAACCTGAAGCCTCTAGCTCATCAGCCATTGCTAACCTCTCTTGGTTTGTTCCTTTCAGCCATCGTTCATGTATGTCCTTGGGAACATGGCAACGACCTGATGGTTTGATCTCACAAACACGTCGGAGACGTGCCAAGCGAGCTGCTTCCGTTGCAGGCTCACTTTGGGTAGCATCTGGACCTCTGGAGGACATTGGGCGGGGAGGTGATTCTGGAGATACCTTGGACTTCTGTTTGGGCGACGGTGCACTGATTTTTGGTGGTGGTGTCTTAAAAGCATTCTTCTTCGTAGCCCGGTCAACAGCCGGCTCTTTCTTCAGCTTTGCTAACTCTTCCATCATGCGCCGGTTGGCCTACCAAGATGGCAAAATGAAGGGTATAAGGGTGAACAAACAACAGAAAAGTATGAACGAGATTGATAGGTTAAAGCATGTCCAAACACATCAGAAACTATCAGAAGATTCCACAAGATAAACGATGGAGAGAGAGAGAGAGAAAGAGAGAAGAAGTCAACACAAGCCTCCTGAAGCTCTTCAATCTGCTGGGACTGGTCTGGGTTTTCCTGTTTACCTCTAAGTCGCTTGGCGGCACCAGGGTTGGGAGATACCTGATCCGGTTTCTGGGGCGACCGGACATGCTTCTCCCCTGACTTCTTCAGCGAAGTGGGTGGCACAACTGTGGGTTTGGCTTTCGATTTGGCTGAAGTCTTCTTGGCTTCTCTGATTTGATCTTCTGATGCCTGAAGTGAAAACACCCTACATCATTGATGCATGTCAAAAATCGTGTGAACCCACATGCACAACATACGCAAATTGAAAATATGACACAGAAAATAAAAATAGACCATGAAACTTAGCTGAGGGTCTGGTTGGGTCTCAGCTTCCTTGGCATCAACATGTGACTTAGAAAGATCGTTGATTCCACAACACCCCAACCCACCCGTTGAAAGCTACATGGACAAGGCTCACTGATAGAGTCCTGGAGGCCCTTCTTCAAAGATGCAAGCTGGCATTCGTAGTCCTGAGTAGTGGCAAGACCCTTGTTGGTTTTGTACAGGGTGGCTTAAGCTAAGCAAGTAGTCCATTCTGGAACCAACAATGTGTATCAATGTTTCAGACAACAACTTTGTTAAGATACCCCACCATCCAAAATCAATTAGACAAGATTCCTTGATTTGTTTCTGCAACTCCTCTGGACTTAAGCTTTCACGCTTTACAGCCAATAGCTTCGATTGACCATCAGTCAGCTCTGAGCATGACCATTGCCTAGAGGGAACCTTCTCTTTTTTGTCAGCTTTGGGAGCCATTGCTGTCACTTGGGTGTTGAACCAAAAGCCTTTCGGGATCAAAATGCATAAAGCTGGACTCAAAACAAGCCAAATGGTCAAAATTGCAGCTTGAAACCAGTCAAAACAGAACATGGGAAAAATGCTGCAATTACGGAAAAAATACGTATTTCCGTACGGAAAAATACGTACCTTTTACGCAAAAATACGTCCCTTTTACGGGTACGGGTTTGATACGGGTTTCAATACGTATTTTATACGTGGAAAATACGTATTCTCCAGAACCCATCAAAAACACTAGAAATGATGTTTTTTTCGGACAAAAATTATCAAAAAATCACAGGTAGAAACTTGGAAACAAGTTGGAAAACAATGACTCAGGATTCAGCATAAGAAGAAACCAATTTTACATCTGTTTGCGGTCTCAATGCGCTCCTAGGTGAGTGACACCAACATCTCCACTGAACACTAACTAACAAAGGCTTTTATATACAACAACAGGTAAGTGATCATACTAGCCAATAGTGCAATTGCTGGGAAAGTGGAGACATTGGGAAAAGCCACCCCTAGCAGGTCCAAGCTAGTTCAGCTAGTGCAATGCAAAGCTATTACTTCAGGTGCATAAAGCATGCCTGATTTACACGCATGCATTCTAAATAAGTCACAGCTCTGTTGGGAACAAGGGCCGCATGTTTCCAAGCCAAAGGCCATGGGCACCCCTTAAATATTTAAAAGCCGATTTGATGTTTGCATCATTCCACCAATCAGTATCTTCCCAAGGGAGAGTAGAGAAGAGGTAGGCCCCCAAAGTGTGATCATCATGTTGAAGAGGTGAGCCAAACCATGTCGTTCGGTTCCGGCAGAAACGTGGATAAAGATGCATCAAGCGCATAGCGAACTGTGGAGGATATACCCTCAGTAGCACACACACATGCACATGTATGAGTGGAGGGAATAGGGAAACCCCAAAAGAACAAGAATATGTTATTTGAATTGATGCAAATTCTTGGGGCTCTTTAGACCAACTATCAGCTCACATGTTGATCAATGTTGCCTTGGAAAAAATCAAAAGTTTGCTTTAATAGAACAATGGTTGCCAGTTTAGTGATCAAGATTCCCAGTAAGCTTGAGGTGTTTTGATCCACAAAAGGCTTTTTTGCCCTTGGAGTTTCGATAGACAATGGTTGACTTCACTCCTCGACTGGAAATTATTGCCCTGATATGCTTGGTCATCTTCCCCAAATTGAGACACTCAATTGTCCGACTGTTGGACCACCCAATGTGCGGCTTGCATGTGGGTCCACCATACATTCCAGCATACCACTTCGCTTCAAACACCTGCATGGGGGTTCTACAGAGCAAATCCTTAAAACACATTTTATGTAGATATATCAAAATATTTTTGGGGCTAAAATGTTCCTTACCCTTAAGCACCCAGATAGAACAAATTGAAAATGGCCGAGATTGACGATAAACTGGAACGTTTGGAGTTACTAATCTCAATTTGGGAATGTTTCAAATAGGGGTGTCTGAAGCTATTGTTTAATCTAAAAAAATTGAAACATTGCGGGTACCCCAAACAAGATTTTAACCTTTTTGAAACCTTCCCAGCATTTCCCAACACCTCCGGCAACAAACGCCAGAGAAGACGAATCCGAGGGTGCCACAACACCTGCGAAGTACTTGGTTGTTCTAATAACCAAGTTCCTCCCATCGCTGTCACTGCGAGGATCAGCAAAGCTGTCCTGAGCGGCATGTGGGTTAGCCCAGCTGGGCGTTTGGATTAATCCGAAGCCATGGATGGGTATAAGAATTATTTTTGAATTTGATGGACGGTTCCTTTTTTGAAAGAGAGTTGGAGCTATATCTCTACTAAAAGGGTATCCCGCTATTTTGGGGTCCACTATAACCTGATAGTATCAATTTAACAGATATATTCTC